TCCTTTTTTAAATTATTTTATTATTGACATTATCTGTGTGCTTGTTATGCTGGAGTAGACAGGTGGAGGAGCAGATTAATAAAAGAGCCAGAAAGAAAGAGAGACAAGAATCTCTAACAAATACAAAGGGAGGGACACAAACGTGTGTGAGATGAATGTGAAAATTATATTTCTTAATGTTTTTTAGGGCCGAGTAGAAGTCAGAGGTCATCCAGGTTTGAAGATATTCCTCCTCCAGGCCTGTCCAGTTACATCCTGCTAACCCATCTCCTCATAGCTTTACCACAGTGGCTGCTGTGGTAAAGCTATGAGGAGATGGGTTAGCAGGCATGCAGCCACTAATGAAACCATGAGAAAACTGATCACCAGCCTGAGAGGCATGCAAAATGACTCCATCTCGGGACCATACATGGGACTTCCTGTCAGATCACCTGTGATGTCCTGCAGCAACATGTGCACAGAAACATCTGTTTCACAAACACGGGGAATCGCTCTGAAACTTTCTCCATCTTCAGACTGTTTGTGTCTGTAACTGTTAATAAGTCACTGCTTTTGATTTCAGTCGACTTCAAACGACAGCAAAAAAATGTTTTAGCAGGAAAACTGTGATCACGCAGCAGACTGACCCAGGTGAGAGAGGACGCGTACAGGAACAGACTCTGCACAGAGACGTGGTTATCAGCTCTTCCTGCCACCTGCTGCCTTTCACTGAGTGAAAGAAACGGCTGAACAAAGCTGCCAGTGTGCGCTGATGCACCGAACACGTTACAGAGGAGAATCAAACTGACCCAGAACATTTCATTTCATTTTGACCTGCAGGTGGACCACACTGCAGCGTGCGTCGGCATTCGTGTGAAGCTCGGGCTGCAGAGATCGATGGCGTGATAAACGACACTGATGCTTTTGCTGCAGAATAAATGTTGTTTGAACCCTCAGCAGCTCTAACACGCTGCAGCCTGCTGCTCCTCACAGCGTCTGTGGTGAGGTCATCGCTCTGGTTTGGGGTCAGATTTACTTGTTACCATGGATACTGCAGCTTCCAGGTTTACTTCCTACAACCCAGACTAACATTTAAACACAACATATCACAGCCGTAACCTTTGGGAAACTGAACATGTATCATGTAAACGCATCGTCCGTCTGTTTGTTACAGAATAAAACAAACTCTCTCTTTGACCCGTTTAATTGAAGTCATCATCTATTTGTTCCTCCTCATATTCATTTCTGTGCTTTGTCCTCCAACAGTAGAAGATTGTGAAGCATCATCATCATCGATGTCTGTAAAGAGGGACGAGTGTGCGTCCTGTGGTTGTCAGCTTCAGCTGCAACAACAAACAGCTAAACGTCTCGAACATTAACTGAGAAATCTTTTCAATAAATACTTCAAACTTCCAACAAACAGAACTTTCTTTAAACCATCTCGTAAAAAAAACAAAAACAAACGCATTGTCCGCTTGGCGCCAACGCTAAGCTCGCTCCTCCTGAGCTGTAGTTTCTGGGTCAGAGTCAGAGTCCGTCTCTTCGTCTTTTTTCGGAGGATCTGTCGCGTCCCAGCCGACTGCTACCACTCCCTTCCTCTGAGGCAGGACTGTGAAGAAGGCCTCCTGCCAGCTGCCTTTCTCCAGGTACGCCAGGATGATCTCGAACACTGCAGGAGGGACGAGAGCGCCGTTCAGACCACGGAGGGAGCAGCTGAGGCTCCTCCCCCTACAGCAGGGAGGAGCCACAATACAGGAAACATGATCCTTTAAATGTCTGCACATTAAACTTGATTAAGAGCAGCGGCATGAAGCCACTCCCACTCCTCACCGTGGTTAACAGCCAGGACCTTCCGACTGTTCATTTTGACGAAGCTGCTCAGAGGGAGCTGGGCGTGGCGGATGCCCAGCTCCGTGGCCCTTTCAAAGGTGACTCCCTGCAAACAAAGCCCGACAGGTTAGCCCACGCGGCCACACCCACACGCTACGGCGGGTCTGGAGCCGAGCGCACCTTGTGGTGGTTGTGGTCCACCAGGCCTCCTATGACGTACGCCCTCTGTGGATCCAGCTCCGTCAGCACGTTGGGAGAGTCGGAGGTGAGGTAGACCAGCTCCTCCTGGGACACAACCTCGGTGTAGTGCTCCGTTTTAATGTGGATGTCCTGCACAGCACACCGGGTACACACAGAACCCAACCAATCAATGTGACATGAATAAACACGACATCTTCAGCGTGGTCATCATCAGTTCAGAGATCAGAGCGGCTCACGGACACAATCGTCTGTTGGAAGCTTTTTATTCTGCAAATAAATGTTGTAAAGGTCCAGCCCTCTGTTGTGACCGCTCACCTTCCAGTTCACCCAGCCTTTGTCCTTCTCGTCCATGCTCTGTCTCAGCTGTCCTCCAAGGCTGGTCAGGTAAAACTGGACACAAGAAGAAGTTATTAGATGTTTGATGCCACATGAAAAACTTATTACAGCCTGTTACTGTTCTTATTTTATATTCGACCCAAAGCCAGTGGAGGTGGTTTGGGATGAAGACCAACAAGTGCTCAGCATCTCGTCATGAAGCTCATCCAGATGCAAAGCGTGTCGCACTGACATGCACATCCAGATGTTTGCTCTTAGCTGCATTAC